TAGCAACTAGAAGAATTAGCGCCAATATTACTAACCTGTAAACTAATGGGTACCCTCATTTTTTTTGGAATAAAAACATGTAAAATCAAACAAGTAAGCTGTCGATTTGTTACCTAGATGAAAGGAAAATCACAAAATTAGCAAACGAAGAGAAAATTTGAAAATATGAATGGCGATCTCGAACTCTCCATGGACCACTGTGCCTATTCTTCTCTCCTTGAGGTTTAGGGCAAAGTCTAAATGCATATAACAACCTATGTGAAGTGAAGGAATAGAGAGAAAATGGACTTGGTCGCTTGGAGTTGGACAAGCGAAAGAGCAATGAATAGGCTTGGCAAATTGGCAATGGACAAGGTTTTGGTCAAGTTACAGGTTAAAATAAAAAAGGGGCTTGGCAATGTACATATTTTGGATAATTTATAGATTAAAAAAAAAGAAATTTTTGTGGGGTCAATTGACCGCACGTGATCCTATGTGGGTCCGTCCATGTATTGAATCAATCCAGGAGAGTGGTTTAGTCCCTGAGTCCATTCTTTTAGGATAGATAGTTTTCTGTTGAGTTGAGATTTTTTCAAAATAGATTTTTCGAAAAATGAATCTTTTGAGAACACGAGATTAAAAATTAGGAAAAAATTATGGATTCACGAGCAAAATTGTTTTGGTGGAAGAATATAAAGTAAAAAATAAGGTCAGAGAAAGTGACTTTTAGAAAATGGGAAATATACGAGCTTTGAAAAAATGATTTTTTTTTGTTTTTTTTGGGAGAACATGTTACAAAAAGTAGATTAATTTAATTTTATTTTTTTAAGAAAAAAGTTTAGGTAAAAATTTATTTTACTAAAAGAATGTATGATTAAAAATTAGTCAGGAGAAAAATACATATTAAAGAATGAGGTTCGAACATGAGCATAGCCCCGATTTGGTGCAACTTAAATACTCAATTAACATTCAAGTTAAAGTTAACAATTAATTTTAGTCAGAACTCTATTTTTTTTCAAAACTCACTTTCAAGTACACCTTCTTTCACAAAATAATTCTACACATAAATTTAAAAATTTTCCATATTTTTTAACCACACGTTTTCAAAAAATTATCATTCCAAAACCTATTTCCAAAAGAAAAAGAGGAGGGCTCAAACAGGTCTTAACCACATATTTCATTGGCTCACAAATTTTCAACCACACATTTTATAAACTTTTATCAAAATCTATTGAAAACTTAATTTTTATCCACATCAAACAAGAGCTTAATATAATATCAAGTTGGTGAGTGGCTAATTGAACCGACAGAAGCCAAGTAGGAGTTAATTGTCCAATTAATCATTAAACTTATGTGTGTTTTCGACTACTTATTGAAGTTTCATATATCAAATTTTAGCTATTAAACTTATTAAAATATTGGACGTTACTCGTTGGCACAATATCTACTACTTAATTCTAATGAAATTGATGACATGGCAGATGGAATGCACAGGTGGCGTAACTCATAGCACACCATATTGCCACATAAGAAAATGCGTATTTGATTGCTCATCTTACTTTGGAAAATGTCTTTGATTGCTCATAATATTTTTAAATATGCCTTTGATTGTTTACTATAGTTTTAAAGACGTATTTGTTTACTCAATATATGGTCGAATTTTGACCATTAAACTTGTAAAACTGGCGCCAATCTATCATGAAAATTTAGGAACGATGCTCCAAGTATCATTTTCATATGATGAAATATTGTAAAATGTTACAAGCAAATGTCTCAAGACATTTTGCAATATACTAGAGTTTTCTTGCTATTTTTTCTATATTTGATCTATAATCTATATTAACAACAATAAAGTATTGATCATTCTGATGACTAATTTTAACAAAAATATGTATGTATTCACAGAAAAAAATCCATAATCTACATTAACAAGAAAAATATACACCTTTTTTTTAGAATATATATTTTCTATATTGGGTGGAGATTTTTTTGGTTAAAGAGGATAAGTCTTAAAAATGGGGTCAAACACAATCTTTGTAAAAAGTGATTTTTGAAAATATGTGATTAAAAATTTGATTTTTTTTATTTAACGTGCGAAATTATTTTATTAAAAGAATGTATGATTAAAAGGGAGTTTAAAGTAAAATAAGTTTTAAAGAATGAGAGTTGAGACTCAAACATGAACTTGGCCCCTGTTTGGTGCAACTTAAATATTTGATTAACATTTAAATCAAAGTCAACGATTAATTTTAATTATACATTTAATAGGATTCATAACTTTTTAATTATACATTTTATTAACATTTATCAAAATCTATTAAAAAAATCTAGTTTTTATCTACGTTAAACAAGGGCTTAGCCCCCTGTTTGGGCCATATTATTTAGGAAATTTGTAGAAAACTATTGATCGTTGCTTGTCCAACTGAGCCCCGCATGTATGTGTTGAATTCAAGAATTTTGAGTTGATTTGATAATTAATGGTCACATTTCTTCTATAAATGATGAAAAAATATGGTCTAAATGGGGGCTTAATATATGGAAAAAACCATTTGTATCCGGGCATGTACACCGGAGTGTACATGCTCACTTACATTTTACATTGGAGGTCAGCCCCATGCCTAATAAATGCTTTTGGCCGACCTCCCATGTGAGGGTACACTCCCGTGTACGTGTTCACTCTTAATATATTAAGAAATTATTCGACTTGTACAGGTAGAGTTCAATCATAAATTCAAATACAAGTAGTAGAACTCTAACATCATGAGAAGTATTGGTGAGTGGTTGAACAGACCGAAGCAGACGTTTATGTGATATGGTTAACATGTGAAATAATTTGATGTTGACATTCCTTTACACATTTAGCCCCTATCCGACAACTTTTAAAAATTTAAATTATTTATTATAATATCATTCTTCATTACATATTTACAAAATAAAAATATTATGTATACAAATCAATAAAAAAAAATTCTTACTTTTTAATTACACACTCTTCAAAATACCATTCAAAAATTTTTCATTTTTCAAATAATGGATATCAGACTGGGCCTTAAGACCAAAGTTAAGCCCTTAATTGAGCATGATTTTGAGTATAGAGTGTGAAAATAACGCCTGTTTGGAAGGAATTTACAACAAAAAATTATTTTTTTGACCGTTATTTCATTATTCCAACTGTAATTTTTTATTTCTTCTCTCATAGGTGAACTCCACTTTTCTTCTAACGATCAAACAATTAATTCTCAAAATCCCTTTCTAACGGGGCCTAAATATTAATAATCAAGTTATTAATTTAAAGTCTACAATCCCACCCCTAACATAGTAAAACTCTCACCAAACCCTAAAATATACTCTCTCTCCCCTCTCCCTTTTCCATCCTTCCTCTGGCGCAGAGCCGCTTTGTGACGACACTGATTCGCTATCACAAGATACTTCGACTACTATTCTCTTCGCTTCTTCATTTAGGAGTCATCTTCACGAAAGGCATAGTTTGCTTTTGGGGATTTTTTGTGTCCGCGCGCAAGTGTCGTCGCAACTCTCTGGTGGTCGTGTGGTGGTGGACTTGTGGAGGTTGTGACGAGAATTTGTGGTTGTGGTGTGGGGGATTTATGAAGGTTTGGTGGTTGGTCTGCTGTGGATTTGTGAATATCATGGTGATTGCGGTTGTTTGGGGATTTTTAAAAAGGTTGAACCCCAACCTTAAGGGCCCCCACCGACCCTGCCCTGGGCCATCGTGGAGGAGGTAAATCGCAGGATATGCCTCCCAGGAGTCAGGGTGGAGAGCACATGGATAGACCAAGGCTGTTAACCCATATGGTAACTCCCGCTTACAACAAAGCCAATTCCATCTTGCGGGGAATCGAACTCTGCACACTGCCGCGCTGAGCCCTATCCGCCCTCCCCTTTGCCACTGGGAGATATGCCCTGAGGGCGGTTGTTTGGGGATTTTTGTGTGGGGGGGATGATGGTTTTGGTGTGGTGGAGAAGGACATAAATGAGATGGTAGTTGCAAATTTTTTTAAAATTTGTTTATAGGTGATAGTGGTGGGGTGGCAACGGCGGCGGCGACGGTTGCGCGGGCGGCGACGGTGTTGGTATGTCGTGGCGGTGGCTGTGACAATTTTGAATCTGATTTTTTGGCGATGTTGAGGTGATGTTGGTTGCCGTGGTGAGGTGATGGGGATGTTGGCGATGCTGGTGATGCGGGTGGTACAGTGATTTGTGATCAATTATTTGACTAACTGTGATCAATAATTAATACGTGACCTAAATAATGTGATCGAGACTCACAATTTATTAAATTATAATCGAGATATAACTTGTAACCAATTAATTTGATAAGTTGTGACCTTAAAAATTTGTGATTTGTGATCAATTAATGAATTGTAACCTATAAAATGTTTGATTCGTCATCGAGAAATAATATGTAGCTTATAAATTTTTTGATTTGTAACCATAAAATAAATTGTAACTAATTAATTCGATAAGTTGTGACAAATGTATAGATTTGAAACCTTAATATATTTAATTAATAAAATATATCTTAATTAATTATTTCATAAATAAAATTTGATTAATATTTGATTTTTGAGATTTTAAAACTTAATTCTTAGTTTTGAAATTGAGCATACAAGAATTTTTCCAAATTAACTAGAGTTTGAAGCCTAAGCAGCTTTAAAGCCCTTTCTTGGGCGAGTCGAAGAGATTGAGAAGTCCCTTCTAGGGCTTTGATGTCATTAATGTAGAAGCATTGAAATAAAAAACATTTGTGAACGATGAGGAAAAATTGAGTTTAAAAATTTGGGCTCAACCATGGACTAAATCCTCAAGTGCAATTTAACTGAAGTCAAAAAGGTGAATATAGAACTTATTGCAACACAGTCTAGGATGAACAAGTAGCTCACCGGGCTGAATCAGTTACACTCTTCATAGGTGATGCACCTTAAATACAAAGTAATACGAAGTACAATTAAGAAGACAAACTAAGAAATCAAGCTCAGTCATAGACTGATGAACCAAATGCAAACTTTGGAAACGAAGAAACAGCTCTTTTATTTTCATTAAACATGCATAACCAGTATCACTTCAGTCGAAAAAGCTCAAATCCTTAAAAAGAGTAAAGGAGACAAACTAGGATAGATAATAGAAAGTAAAAGGAAGCAGTATAGAAGTTCGACGCATAGGGGAGAGGGGAAACTACAGCGCTTTCAAGATTTCTTCGGCGCTTGAAACGGTGAACTCTCCACCAGCTTCAACATTAGCAACTTTCACCTTCAAGTCCTCAACCAGGAGGGCAAACCTCCTAGACCGAGTGCCAAGACCTTTTTCCGAGAGGTCAAGCTCGAGACCAAGTGCCTTAGTGTAACTTGCAGAGCCATCAGCTAGAAACTTTACGTGCTTATTGTCAGGGTAAGTCTTAGCCCATGCCTTCATCACAAATGGGTCGTTCACTGCAAACAAGAACATTATAAATGGTCAGATATCAAAGTTCCCCATTTTCGTGCAACTATCCAAGTTAGAGCGCATGCCCGGGCACCCTAATTAACTGGTCTCTCTCTTGTCATCAGCTCTGATCCTCAAAGTGTTGTCCCAAGTGAAAACATTGGGGTTTTAAATTCTCTGTTATGAAGACACATGAAATTGGAAATTCTATATGGGTTCTAAATTACTTCCAAAGTATTGCCCCTTCACAATGTTATACATAAAACAATGAAGAGCATCAGCTTATTTGAATTTGGAGCTTAATGGAACCGATGGAATAAATTATATCGCCTCTATTTCCAATTAAGAGTTCACTGGGTTCGTTCGAAGCTTTCAGTTTACACTACCAGTATAACAAAATTATTTAATTTAAATTGACAAATATGAGATTTAGAGAACAACACAATCAAACTTCCAATCCTAGCTAATTTTCGATTGGGATGTCATATTTGACAGTACTTTACAAGAATGAGTACCATCGTTGCAAAATGTGGATCCCTATTGCAGCATAGTTACAAACATATTCTCAATTAAAGAGAACAAGATAATTTCTAATTAAAACTTTACAGAGAATTGATGCTCAATTCATTTACATTTTCTACATAGAGGTAGAGCTAATTAACACAACTTATATGACTTTTTCAACGCTAATTTTGCTACAATAAACAAATATCAGAATATACAACTTGTAGACGATTATTCAAATTCCAGGAAAATCATTTCTTATATCTTCATCTGATTTTTTTAGAAGAAAAGCATTATAACGAGCCAAACAGTTCAATAGTGTAGCTATTAATTCGGAATCATTACATAATGGCCCATAAAAAATTAATGCAAATCATACCACTGATGCACAAGATTTCATCAACTCCCTTTGACTTCAACTCGTCAGCCCTGTCAATGAATCCAGGCACATGCTTCATGCTGCAAAATCCATCCACGCAATATCAAAAAACGCACAAAATTGATACAATCAAAAACAAATATTCAAATATACTAAACAAAGTTTCCCACCCGGTGAACAGACGATGATTACGGATAGGAAATTACCTGCAAGTGGGAGTGAAAGCACCTGGAACGGCAAAGAGTATGACCTTTTTACCGGCGGCAAGGGAGTGAATTGAAACGCTCTGAAGTTGATCCTGCTCGTCGAAATAAGCTAGGGTTCCATCGGGAATTGAGTCACCAACTGCTATCGGAGCCATTGACGGTAAAATTCAGCAAAACAACGATGATTTCCGATGAGATATGATACTGAGCCAGCACTACAGGAGTATATTTAGGGGTTTCAGTTGTGGACGTGAAATGAGCTATGAATTCCATTCAAAGAAACAATTTGGCGTCCGCCAGCCGGCTTCTTCTCAATTGAGGACAAATTGACCAATTCCTAGGCACCATTTGTTTGCCCGCCCATGTCTGGACCTTTTTTTTTTTTTTTTTTTTTTTCCTTCATCAAATTATGAGCTTATTTGATAGAGATTTTATTAATTGATTTTTTTTACCGTTATATATAAAGTGGATCTTATCTGTAAGAAAAGAATTCAAAAATGATTATTGAAATAGAGAAATAATGGTCAAAAAATTAATTTTAATAAGCTTAAAATCCCTACCAAACAAGCACTATAATGAAAGGAATAATTTTTTTTTTTTGAAAAATATATGATTAAAAAGAAAGGAAAAGTTGTTAATTTAACATGTATTATTTTATTAAAAAATGTGTGATTAATAAGAAGATAGGAAAAATGAATTTTAATTTAATGGGGGGATAAACAGGACTTTGTCTGCCATTCTTTCAACTTTTTTATATACTAATTTTCGATCACACACACAAAATAAAATATTTTACACTTAAAATTAAATTTTTTTCTACTTTTTAACCACATATTCTCTAAAAATTTACTATTTAAAACAATATTTTT